ATTCAAAAGCAGAAATCAGAAAAATGCATAATTACTCTGCAACAGCTTTTAACATGAGAATAAAATCATTACTCAGTTAATAAAATTGATTAGTTCACTGCAACATCTAAAATGGTTTGAACTAAGACACTTTGATTATCAACATTTGTAAGATAGTAATGATAATAAAAAGAGAGTGTTCTTTTCACTTGAATCTTCAAGAAAGAAAGTCTCAGGATGGGTGAACCTGTATCTATCAATCACAAAATACATGAAATGACAGCTTCTGTCCCACAAGGTTCTAAAGGTCAAGAGTTTTGACCTTAGACTGGGTTTCGACGTAGGCTTAGTCCACTACAGTCCCCCCTTTGGAAATCATCACCTGTGGTGGTACTGTGGTGGTTTGGTTGCTAGCAACTTGGCAGGCCTCTGGAATGGTCTGCCCAGCCTTAAGGTTTGCTGTGTCTAGCACAGGAGGATCCTTTGTGGCTGGTTTCAGGGACCACAGCACCTTGTTGATGGTGTCCACGTGGACACCTAACCTTACCAAAATGTCAGAGCCTATGTAGGATGCATGAGGTAAGTTTTGGATAACGAGAAACGGGTGAACCAGTTCTCGTTGATTCCAGTTCAGCTTTAGGTTAATGACTCCTTCTGCGGTCATTACCTGTGAACTATTGGGAACTAATGGAAAGCGGAAAGCTTTTCTAATTAGTTCTAGACCAACGTGTTTGTGAACCAAGGTTTCGTAGAAAGCTCGGTTAATTGCTGATTTATCTGTCCACAGAGACAGAACAGCATCGTTGGTGTGGGACCCTTGGATCTCTACACCCTTAACTACCAGTGGTAGGTAGTGTTTGGTGGACTCTGACTGCTCCAGCTCACAAAGGAGGCTGTCTTGTTGAGTCAGAGTTTGGATCACTTGGGTTTCTTTGGTTTCACATGGTGTCAGAGGAGTACTCACCGGGCTCGTGTCCTCGGCTGAGGAGTCCTGTGCGCCTTCCGCGGTACCTGCTGTCGGGCAGTCTGTGTCACACTCCGGAGGCGTATCGATTGGCAGTGGGTTGCTCACTGTTGTCCACATTGTTTGATCACCATAATCTATAATCGCGCCGAAGCGATTTATAAAATCCTGGCCAACCAAAAATGGGAATGAGTCAACATGAGTCACGTGTACCGGATGGTACAGTGTCATATTGCCAATCTGCATGTGAACCATTGCTATAGCTGTCAGGGTTGTTTTCATTTCTGAGAGACCCTGCATTTCTATAGCACATTCAGAGAGAGGTATTATCCTGTTAACACTGGCAGCGGCCGTCCTCAGCTCCTCGAACAGTTTAGCTGACATGATTGTTATGTCTGCCCCACCGTCCAAGAGTGCTTCGTGTGTGAGGACACCTTCAAGTGTTACTGACAGGTACGCCTTTTTGGCGACCCCCTTTCTGATAAAGTTACACAGAAACCTCTTGGGTTTTTTCTGACGCTTTTTCACGCGTTCAGCCTTATCTGTGTAATTTTGGTTTGCCTGAACCGTCAGCACAGCAGAAGCTGTTTCTGAGTGTTCAGCCTGTGATGACACGTCATCGTTCGTGTGTGTGTTTACCCCCCCTTCTTCCGATGAGGGGTTGTTTGAGGCAACCACAGCAACGTCTTGGTGTGTTCCACCGACATCTGTTATGTTGTCATTCGCGCCCTCAGATGTAATAGGAATTACATTACTGCAAAGTGCTCCTGGTTGGGTTCCCGTGTCAGTGTGTTTCAAAGTCTCTAACAACCTGCGTAGTTTCTCTGTCTCTTCCGAGCTCAGAGGTGTGGGGCCGTGCTTTTGGAACTTATGTGATTTTTTCGCCTCGGTTCGTTTCGTCCGAGGTGGGGGACGGTCAGGTACGTCTTGCGGGGTTTCCTTTACGTACTGCCCCTGCCGATATGGTTTCTCATATCGTTGCGTCCTGCGTTCACCCGTTTTCCGATAATCACTGGCTTCCTCTGAAAGAGGAGCCTTTTTGTCCCAGCGTGCACCTTCAGTACGCGGTTTGTTAGCTTGAACAGACTGTTTTCTCTCTTTCTTCTTAGGAGGAGGCGGCGAAGCACGTCGTCCTTCTAGTTCAAGAGGGAGGGGTTTAACCTTTACACTAGGAAACACTTCTATGGGCGTCTTAGCATGAGAACATGCTTCAAACACATTCACAGCACACTGTTTAATCTCACTGATGGATTTTTCTCTGAAATTTGCCATCATTTGTACTGATTTTTTAAAATCAGAGTGGAGATTTTTGCTGAAAACAAACTTAAAACCATCATCTTCTTCCATTCCGGTCTCATTTCTGTTACCAAAATAGGCTTGGAAGATTCTTTTGTAATAAACTTTTGGATGTTCATTTTTGCCCTGCGTGACCTTGTCAGCAGCTGGAAAACCAGCAGGCCCCGTGCATGGGTCGTACTCTCTGATCAAAGCTCCACACAGAAGGTTGTAATCCCTCCTCGTTGCATCAGGTAGACGCTCGATGAAGGTGAACACCTCTCTGTCTGAAGTGAGCCGTATCAGACTTATCTTATCGTCTACCGTAGCATTAGGATAAGACCTCAATCTGAACTCCAGATCTTTGAGATACGCTTTTGTTCCTGCGGACCCCATAGGCCCGGGAACAAAGCGTTGTACATATTTTGAGATTTTCAGCAAATCATCCATTGAAGGAGACTGTATCACCGGTCTAACTTGTGGGACTGGTGGTGCAGACTGATCAAGGCCTGCCCCTACTGCCCATGGTGGGGGTGGGGGTGGCTGATAAGGGTTGGTAGGAGGAGGTGCATATTGGTGCAGGTCTGTCCCCACCCTCCGAGATGGGGGTGGAGTCGACTGCCTGGCGTCAGGAGGAAGAGGTGCATACCGGTGCAGGTCGAACCCCACCGCCCGAGATGGGGGTGGAGGTGACTGCCTGGCGTCAGGAGGAGGAGGTGTATACCGGTGCAGGTCGAACCCCACCGCCCGAGATGGGGGTGGAGGTGACTGCCTGGCGTCAGGAGGAGGAGGTGCATACCGGTGCAGGTCGAACCCCACCTGAGATGGGGGTGGAGGTGACCGCCTGGCGTCAGGAGGAGGAGGTGCATATGGGTGCAGACCCGTCCTTATCCCCCGGGTTGGGGGTGTTGAAACGGGGCTAAGGGGATTTATCAATCACAAAATACATGAAATGACAGCTTCTGTCCCACAAGGTTCTAAAGGTCAAGAGTTTTGACCTTAGACTGGGTTTCGACGTAGGCTTAGTCCACTACACATTCATACAGCACTCTACCACACACACATTCATACAGCACTGTACTAAACACACATTCACACAGCACTCTACTACACACACTCATTCATACAGCACTCTACTATACACACATTCATAATGCATTCTACCTCACACACTTTCATACAGCACTCTACTACACACACTCTCATACAGCACTCTACTAGAGACATATATTCATACAGCGCTCTTCTACACACATATTCATACTGCATTCTACCAGACACACATTCATACAGCACTCTACTAGACACACATTTATACAACATTCTACTACACACACATTCATACGATGCTCTCCTACACATACATGCATACAGCACTGTATTAAACACACATTCATGCAGTACTCTACCACCCACACATTTATACTGCACTCTAGTAGACACACATTTATACATCACTCTACTACTCACACATTCATACAATGATCTACTACACACACATTGTGCTATATGTGTACAAGGTGCTATTTAAGAGACGGAGCTGAATACAGCACCTCAGACTGAGGAAGTCTCTTGGATGAGAGATGAAA